GGTGGTGGCTGCCGTAACGAACTTGTTGGAGATTCATACCTACTATCACTTGGTAGGACCCAAGTTCGATGCCTGTTTGGCGGAAGATTTAAATGTTCGCGATAGGTTTTTTTCTACTAGCGGTCGCTGCTCGGCACGTACATATTTAATGGTAACCCTATGAGTGTACTCCTACGATGAAGAAGCTATTCACAAGAAACTATGTAATTGTTGTTCCAAGCCGGCGATCCATATGTTTGACAACACCTCACAAATTCGGGGAGAAGCTGGGCCAAAAATTTAGAAAAATTTCTGAGCGCCATATACAGGCTTTTTTTTAACGAAAAAAATTACTTAGCGATTGCATATCACAGCGCACGGCAGTGCGCGCGAGTGACGAAAGCAGCCACAGTAGCATGCTGAAATTATTCGCTTATATATACACGAGATTTGGAAGTTTTTGTCCAGACGTCCAATCGACATGTTTGAGAGACATCGTTGGAAAGGTCTTGAGGAGTGTGTCCAGAAAATGTATTCAAGCTTAATAAACGATTAAACGGCTTCTTAAAAATTAGGCTAAAGTGTTGCGAAACAGTAAACGTTTTTTTGCTTTTGCCGGTTTAAGGGGGCATGTGGGTACACCCAACATATTTAGTGTTATTCTATAGGCCAATACCTTTCAAACGATACCTTATATATTAAGTTCCGGCTACTAGTTGGAAAGATATAGAGGTAAATGTGTTCTGGTTCGTGTCTCAACTACGAGATGCTTTGGTATGTATGTGGCGTCTGTACGTACCTTCATTTAATTTTTTTTGAAACTTTCAGGAATTAAAGTACAAAAAAAAACTAAGAAGGTTTTGTTCCAGGATGTTTTGATGCGTATGCCTTTGTGGGCGTGGCGGCTGCATGATATTCGAAAAAAGGCAATTTTTTAAACTACCACTGAGGCCGCACTACTTAGTCCATGTCATTAATGTGGATGTAAGTAGAAGGGTATTAAAACAGGCTATCCAACGCTATCTTTTATGTTTATGAAATATAAATATGTCATAGCGTTATCGCCTGAAAACTAAAAATCGGCCTGTTGAAAATATAGATTTCGGGAATTTTCTCGAAAACAGGTCAATCGATTTTATTCTAAGTTTCGCCAAGTCCAGCCCAAAACCTTAGCTTTTATTTGGTATATAGCTTATATCTGGGAAAACTCGTGTTGTGGAGATATGGCGACTCAAATTGAAAAAAAGTCGCCCCAAATAGCGACCAATGGTTTAAAATTAACATATTCGTCTAATTTGGTTACTTTAAGATATACATATAACATACCCAGTTCCCTGAAAAAAAATTGCCCATTCCGCGATTGCCACTTAAACCGAAATTCCCTGCAAATCGGGCAATTTCACGCGAGCTGACAAGCTGAAGGATGCAGCTGTGCTAATCACTTCGTATATGTCTTGGAAACCACAATTTGTGTGTATTTTAGAGTTTTTTCAATCACATGCCGAAATTGTAGAATTTCTCCCCATTTTAGTTACAGATATGTACACAGTGTTTAACTATGCTACATGAGTTTATCACCCACACTTAACCTACCTGGGAAGACGCGTACAATATTACCTACAGTTGTAAATAAATATGAATGTATGAATGCATTTTGTTCACCCAATGGTGCCGCTACTACCTACATACATATCGTCGTTGCATAAATTATTTTCTAGAGAGTAAAAACACTCATATTTCAAAATGGTTATCTTTTTTATAAAGCAGTCGCATTTCTGGCTAGTATATTTCAGGACGAATGGATAAGGATTGAGCCATGAACTTCTGTGAGCAAATCCAATTTTTGGCAGCAAATGTGAGTTACACGGTTTTGCAGAATGACGATACGCGGTTTTGTACTTTGAACGACGATGTGTATAAATTGGCACTGAGCAAAACTACTTGAGAAAAAAGCATTAGTTTAATAGCACGAGTGCAACACCGTACACGTGATAGAAGTAAAACTTCTTAAAAAATGCACATGTGTGCGCCCCACACCCGGTAGAAATGTTAACAAAAATAAACTACGAGACTATCAGACGAATACAGTTGTTTATTGTATCCAAAGTTGGTACCAGGTTGATAAGTTTTTATCATTTCTCATAATTTTATTTAATTTTTTAATTTTTTCGAATACAAAGGATGTGATCATTCTTTTTCGCTTTATTCCGTATTCGAAAAACTATATGTTTCAATATATACATCGATTTGAATACATAAGTGAGATCTAGATAAGCACAAAACAAAAGACAGAACTTTTGCAACGATTCGTATGAATAAAAAAGATTTTCCCTACGTTTCCAATGCAGTTAAAAAATGCGTATAATTTTCGTCACGAAATTGATATCATAAATTTTGTGTTTCTAGTTCAGCTTTCGTCACTCGAAAAGTTTACCTCAAAGAGGTGTTTTATTTGATTTAATACACTCGTATGCACTAAAATAAAGCAATGCTTTTTCGCCTTTTTTGTTATTTGTTTCTATTTATTAAATTCCATTATTAGTACAGTAAAGTTAATTTTTTAATGAAAACATACAACCGCATGTTTCAATCTTTGTGTGTTTAAAAAATTCATCTAATTTTCATAAAAATTTAAAAGCGACAGCTGTGCATGGAGTTAAAAATCTGATTTGCCAACCCACATATCGTTGCCTTAATATAGAAAGGCCCTATCTCACATCGTCGCTGAAAAGCACAAAGCCGTAACTAACTAAAATCTTTTATTGCATAAAACGATTTGGGGCCACATAATGTGATCAAATGCATCATAATCAATTAAAACGTAAATTTTCGATTTTTAGTTAGTTACGGCTTTTTGTATATCAGCGACGATGTCAGATAGGGCCTTTCTATATTAAGGTAGCGATATATAGCTGCCATTTTGGTTGTGGCATCTGGCCGATTTTGGTTTAAATGCGTAATGAAGAATGCCGCCCACATTTCTTGTTAGAATTTCTGATGCAGATCTTAAAGAACCCGGAGATTTTTTGGAGTGTCTAACTTCTTTTGCGATGTTTCCCATTTTTCCAGCTCTTTAAAGGCAAACCATACATATAAATTGCCGAGGAGGGCGCCTGAAATGTAAAACCCAAATAAAATGCGATAGTCGCCGGTGGGAAGCGGCAGCATGAGATTACTATGCAGCGGCCGAAAGCGGTCTATGATGAATTCGCCCTGCAATGAGAAAGAAGAGTATACCACTCGTAGATAAAATTAAAATTAAACAAAATGTTTATATGCTTTGAAGCTCACCTCATAAGGACATGTATGATTTGCATTTGTGAATTTCTCTATTAGTTTGAATAAAATATCAAAGTATACGGAATTTCTGCGCGTTTTCATAAATGCGCAAGCATCGAAGGTAACATTGATCAGAAATGGTTGGAAGGTGTTGTATTTCCGCATAAGCTCAACATGCAGCTAAAAAGTAAATTATTTCAATTTACTTACTATATATTAGAATGGTTCATAAAAACAATCTTTTTGGAAATTCATAAACGCTACATTAGAATAATGTTATTTGTGATGAAAAAAAGTTTTTTTTTAGAGGTCGCGCTGGTCGGTTTTTTTATAAAAACGCTGATGTTCTCAATTTTTTTATTTTTGTGACATGTTAAGATGCAACTAAAAATGTGGTTCTTACATATAATTACTCTGGTATTACTGGGGAACATTCCCTTAATTACACACCTGTCTTGGACAGTTAGAATGGGCCTAGTTCCCGAAAATATTCTCTCGAAAAGACATTAGTAAAATTAAAACGTTGATACTGAACGATTTACGCGTTGTCATGGGTTAGAACTTGTTACCAGGGGGTTTCTGAGGTTGATAATTAGGAATCTGAAGTCAGTTTTTCAAATTTCAAAATGACGGATCCAAAATGGCGATTAATTTTTTTTTTACATTATTGGTTTTGCTTGAAAACCGGCACTCGGGAGTTTTTGAGGTCGCCGATTACGAATCTGATGTAAATTTTTTTTAAATTCGAAATGGCGGATCCAATATTGCGATCAAATTAAAAAAAATAAAAATTCTAAAATTAAAACGTTGATACTGAACGTTTTAAGCATTTTGAGGGGTTGAAACTCGTTTCCAGGGGTTTTCTGGGGTTACTTATTACGAATGTGTTGTCATATTTTCAAAATTCAAAATGGCGGTTAAGAGTTTCAAACAATTCCAATAACTTTTTTTAGAGTTGGTGGCCATTTTGGATCCACCATTTTCGAATCGTGAAAATCTGAAAACAGATTCGTAATCAGCAACCCCAGAAACCTACTGAAAACGAGTTTCAACCCTTGACAATGCTTAAACCGTTCAGTATCAACGTTTTAATTTTAGTATTTTTATTTTTTTTTTTAATTTGATCGCCATATTGGATCCGTTATTTTGAATTTAAAAAAATTGACTTCAGATTCGTAATCGGCGGCCTCAAAAACTCCCGAGTGCGGGTTTTCAAACCAATCCAAAAATTAAAAAAAAATGAATCGCCATTTTGGATCCGCCATTTTGAATTTTGGGAAACTGACTTCAGATTCCAAATAAGCAATCCCTGAAACCCCCTGATAACAAGTTCCAACCCATGACAACGCTTAAATCGTTCAGTAGCAACGTTTCAATTTTATTAGTCTCTTTGCGAGAGCATATTTTCGGGCGTTAGGCCCATTCCAGCTACCCAAGACAGGTATGTGATTAAGGGAATGTTCCCCAATAACACCAGAGTAATTATATGCAAAAACCACATTTTTACCTGAATTTTAACATGTCAAGAAAATAAAAAATTGAGAACATCAGCCTATTTATAAAACACCGACCAGCGCGACCTCTAATAAAACTTTTTTTCAAAAAAAAAAAATACGTTTCTCTTTTTTTATCACAAATAACAATAATTTGAGGTAGCGTTTATGAATTTCCAAAAAAAAAATTTTGAACCACTCTACTATATACATATGTATGTATGTATGTATACTCGAATATGTCCGATTACACTTCAGTATAATAAGTACTTACATGGCAATTGTCCACCTTTTTCAGCAACTGAAGGCGAACAGTCGCCTCAACGACATCACGCTTCACAGCTTTCAGCCGACACGCATTTAGCCTACCCAATTCTTTATTCAGATCTCTACATTCAATTCTGGTCATTTTGAAAACAGGACTCTGTTTTTGGCGAAATGTTTGCGAGTAAAAAT